TAGGGCCCTAATATTTTAGTATGATCTAGAAGACTATGGTAACTACCGTCAAATAAATAATCATAAAAATCGTCGATTCTTTTTTAAACTTTATTACAAGAAAACGGCCCGGCCGATCTCTACCAAAAACTAATCAGCACGATTCCCAATCAATATCTTTCGAACGGTTTTTGAATTTTCAAAATCAATTCAGAATTGCGGGCTAAAATGTAGACAAAAAATTTTTCACTTTTTTGCGATTTATAAAAAAACGGCTTGGCCGATCGTCGCACAAAACTGACAAACAATAGTCCTCATAGAGATACATCGAGTTTATTTTATTTTTAATCTTCATTTTCAATAGCAATCAAAATACATGACTATTCTATGAGCTATTTGGCTTATGTCATTCACTCACACACATACACACACTTTCAAACACACATATAAATTTATCGGATCAATATTACAATCATATTTAGAGAATCACTTCAAGATACATCGAGTGGCTTTTAATTTTTTTTAAATCGGTCCAGCCGTTTTTGAGAAAACGTCGATTTACGGCAAAAAATCTGTTCACACACACACACACACATGCTTTTTTCAAATTTGGTCTCATTCGATTCAAAATGGCTTGAAACGTCGAGAAAACATAAAATTAGCGATTCGGATTTTTTGATGAAAACATAAACTTCTCCTTCGGGAAGTTAATAAGAACAGTTGGCTGGAGCTATTATGGAAATTTATATATACAGTTGGCTATTTATAATAGGTGTTATTAGTGTTTAAAAAGCACAATTTTTGTGTAAAAGTGGCATACGTATTTATTAACTTTGCTTTTTTATGTTCTTCATGGTCCATTCTAATTGTTAAGCACGTTGTTGTAACAAAGTTGATAACATCATGATAATGCTGGACAAATTGCTGAAAATAACTTGATCTAAAAAAATGTGCAAGTCCCAAGTTATTCAACTTCTGGAGAATCATGCTATCATATAAATTTTTCATCCGAAGGATATATATAGATATCCACGATTTTTGATATCGATTAATGTCGAATACTGACAAAGCATTCATTTATTTAATCCATAAATACATTAAATTCTAATATTATCTAGGATTTAATCTATCTTTACGTTTCTAGGCGGCACATTTACTCTCACAACACAAAGCATTATTTGACATTTTTTTACCTTTATTTGTAAATTTGTACTCTTGTTTATTGTTTTTATTCACACATTTTTTGACCAATAAGTTGTGATATGTTATATGTATAATTATTAGAAATATGCAAAATATGTTAAAACGTACATTTACTAAATACAATTCAAATAAATGTTTTTTACCCGAGAAATGTATGTTGACTAGCAGTCCACGTAATATAGGTCTATGACTAAACATAATATTGAACTGTCAAGTCGTCATAGCGCGGTTCACAGCATAGATAAATAAGCATAAAACAGTAGCGCGGTTCACAGATAAAATAAAAACATAAATGGCGCGATGTTTATTTATCTATGGTTCGCTACAAATGGTTGGTGCCGCGTGCTGGCTGGTGAACCAGGCATAGAAAAAAGAGTATACCAGTATAAAGTATAGTGGTACCAGGAAACCTTCTTTACTTTATACTCTTATTTTATCTATGCGGGCAATTAATTGAGTTTTGGATAAGAGTTTTGGCATTATATAAGCAAGAAAACTATCCGACAACTTCCCGTACCGTAATTAAAAATCTTGGTACGGAACCAAAAAAAAAAAAAAACGCAAAAAGTGTGAAATTTAAAATCTCTATAAAATATCTGATAATTTGATGTGCTTAAGTCCAATAAACATTTTTGACCGCCGAATGACATTTTTTTAACTTATTTTTATTGAGAGTCCATAGCCGCTGCACCTGCCTTCCCAAAAATTTAATCAGTTTTTCATCTTTTTAATACAAGTGAAATGTTTTTTGAATTATTAAAATCGAACGCTCCGTTCTCTTAAAAACTGAGTTACCGATTTTGGCACTTTTTGCCCTGTATCTTCGGAACGGCTAGACCTGCTTTCGCCAAAAGCTAATCAGCACGTCTCCTTATCAATACAAATCGAATGTTTTTCAAATTATTCAAATCGGTTGAGCGATGTTTCCGAACATGCACACAAACACATACATTTTTTTAAGGAATGCCGAAATATTCCGAAACCTTTAAAACGTAAAGATATATAAAAAATTTCATTTTCGATTTTTTTGCGATTACTATAACTTACCCCACGGGAAGTTAATAATTTGGAAGCGTTTTTTTTAATCACATTAGTTACAGGGTTGGACCAACCAATCCCACTCGCGAGTTTGTTTATTAACAAATATGGCTGCTCCTCAGTAAGTGAAATTTTACTGTAAAACATTGTGATAACAATTTTCGTTGTTAATTACTTATAATTGCATGTATATCTTCATTTGTATACTTACTTCTTCATTGTTAAAAAATTTTAATTAATTTTTTTCATTCAGCGGCGTCATTGACCATTTCTAGTAAGTATTGACAGTTTGCAACCGACTCAGTCACACTTTATTTTTGAAAATTTAGGTGTTCACATGTTGTTTGGTTAGGAGTTCAAGTATACTTGAAATACGTTAATTTAAATCACTTTTTTCGTGTATTTTGTACAAGGTATCATTTTATCACAATTGTCGTGTAATTGTTACTTAAAGTTTAGCGCAAAATGCTGCTGTCTGTGGATTCGCAAGTTTTGAAACCGATTTGTTATCAAATGGATTTTGTATAGATTGAGTATTAGAAATATCATAGTATAACCTATGTATATATACTGTATTTAATTTATATTTGTAAATTTGTACTTTTGTTTATTGTTTTCTGCACACATTTTTTCACTAATAAGTTGTAATATGTTATTACCAATTCTACAGGTATAAATATTAGAAATATGTTAAAATGTACATTTACCAAGTACATTTCAAAGAAATGTATGTTACCAAGCAACGATATCAGTTTTTGCAAATTTCATTGCTTCACGAGAAGTATAGTGATTTGGATACACACGACATTCATCGTAATGAATATTGCATTCAAATCTATGTCTATTATGTGATATAATATATATATATATATATATATATATATATACCATTTGCAGTAATATCGAATTTTGCACTGTAGAAAGATAGAAAGTCACAATGGATAACCCCTGCGAAGAAGTAAGAAAACACTGTTGCCTTCCCACGAAAGTTATTGAGTTTATTATCTATAACTGTGAGCAAAACAATTTATCGCTCACTGAACGATACTTAACTATAGACATTTGTAAAATCTTCATTCACATGCTATTTTTTGACGTCGAAGAGATACATGATAAAAAATCATTGACGGATAAAGAATGGGAGGACAAATGGGATAAGTTGTCCACAGGTTTCTGTGAAAATTTGCATTTGAGGATAATGTCTTGTATAGAACTTGCTACAAAGATGAATTCTAGAAAGCATCACATTAAACCAAAGCATATTCAAGCTTATCTCCTCAAGTTTGGTTTACATTACACGTTAGAAACCATTGTTCGATCCACATATCTTGTATTTAAAGTTATTCGTTTTCAGGTAAGAAAATAGTTGATAATTATTTATTGATAATTTTCAAATATTATGTTTATTTTCAGGTTCCTTTACATCACATGACGACAATTGGTAATGTAGAACTTCTATTAGCACAATGTACTGGCTCTTTAGATACAGAGATTTCACTAAGACTCACTACAATAACTGGGAACATCGTAAAATTCGTGTATTTACGCGAAGTTGACTTTTATAAAAGGTAATAATATATTTGACACTTAAAATGTATATAATTTTTCAATATTAGTAAAACCTTTTAAAACTAGAATGATGCACCTAACATGCACATTTAATGCACCATTCTTTAGAAAATTTAATAAAAAATGAATATTGAAACTTATTGAAATGAAAAAAATAAAACTACATATTGTCTGTCAAAATCCACCACAGATTGGATTTACTACATATGTCTACAGTAGACTTTTCTGTAAATATTCATAATCGACTATATTTAAAAGTAAAAAATATAAATTTTCTTACATTTACTATTTGCTATTTACCTTACTATATATTTTCAGAATGTTGGACCATATATCGTCTGAAACACCTTCTTCAAAGAACAAAAGTGAAAAGGAGATTTTTGGAGACATTAGATTACTATTACCCCCCGCAATTATATACAGCTGTGCAAAATTCATGCATATCAATCAAAGACTCTGTGATGATTTGCTATCGAAGTTGGTTGCAAAAACCAATGTCCTTAAACAGAATATAATTGTGTTATTTACAATTTTAGAGAAAATGATACAGGAATAGGTCCTATAAATTTTATGCCTTTATGAGTGACATTTTGTTAAACTTGTTATATCTGTGATGTTAATATAATAATATAATTTTAAGTTACAAATTATGAAGAAGACATAATATTATTATAAGTATTTATTTTTAATATTTTTATAATAATATATACACACTTCCATACCTAAGGACTATCTATCGATCACGTAAACATTTCTATGCTTAATATACAATCACACTTTATAAAAGAATACTATATATGTACAATATGTGATATTATATCCAAGGATTATGGCAATGTGCTCATTACATAATGGGTTGTACTCAACATTAACATTGAAGCAAGATCTTCAATGCCGAGTATATTTCTGTTCCAGGTAATCATATATCAATCTAGAGATATGGATGTTTCATTTATAATACTATTAAAAATACCTTCGGGTGTAAACAAACCTATTTCATAAAATATAATTACTGATTGCATGGCTTGATACATACTTCAATATGTAATGGCAACAAATTTGTCCATTTTAAGTACAAATGGGCAGCTTAATACTGTAAAGATAGCTATTACAATTACAATAAATTGTCTATGTTCTGCAAAAATAACATATTCAAGTGACATGATTTTTATTAACAGTCTCCTAGAAAATCTTCAGGGTCATACCTGTTTGAATATATGAAATTTTTGTCTCTAGAACTACAGACTTATGTATTTCACAATACATTGTTAGAAAAAGCTGCTATATAAAGAACAATACAAACTTAGAAATAAACATTCTTAACTAATAATCAATAAATCAAAAAAGAAAGAACCCATAAACTCAAATTGTTGTATAAAATAAAATGGATCAGAATTATAACACACCCACATAGTAACTCCGCACTTGCTAGTACAATATATAACAATAATAATTTCTTCAGTTAACACATCTTTTTTAAATAATGCTTATCCGAAAAATGGGACCATTCGATTAATAAATTATATACATAAACCAAAAAAGCATCATATTTTAAAATTGTTAGTTCTGAAATATATGTATGAAAGATTTTGTTACTGGAGGTAATTATAAATGGAGTAGAACTCAACTAAGTTTAAGATACGGCAGTAACTAATGATTACAAATCAATTTATTACCTATAAATTTTAAATAATTTCCATTCACGTTGGACAATTGAGATATATTTAAAATATACTATAACATTCATTGCAAATGCTTGTCTCATTATTTAATAACCACTTCAAATTTGAATGATAGAATGTGCAATTTACAGTTTTTCTTGTTAGGATAATATATTTATCTAATTAATTTTTTTTCTTAAATTGAGACATTGAAATTAGAAATTTGATTAGATATATGTATAGTGTATAAATATTATTGATATGGACACGTTACCCTCTGAAGTATTTCACACAATTCACACATAGGGAAATATTTACAATTTTAAAATTTAATATCCATATATATATATATATATATATATATATATATATATATATACATACATATATTATAGAATGCACATAAAGAATATACATATTTATATGGATGTATGTTATTATAATCTCAACAATATAAAATGATATATACTATTCAATTATTGACATACCTGTAAAACCTCTTAAATCTTACAATTCATCGAATGAAAAAGATAAAATTGTTAAAATATACATATTTGTTGAAAAATAAGCCATTACAAATGTAAATAAAAAAAAATATAATAAACAAATATATTAAACAAACAAACTACATAGTAATTACTAATTTAGACTGCCAAAAAACTAAAAACATCATTCAAAGGTGTATACTAATTATGGTACGTTTGACCAAAAATTGTCAAAAAGACAATTCATCAACTACAATAATTTTTGAAAAATAAATACTATTCAGGACAATTTAACAATAGAATTCAGAACATAATTCAAGGGATATACTTTATAAGTTTAAATTTCTTTATATTTTTTTTATCTATATATGCTGTTGTAAAATCTGTTTTGGCTTTTCTGTGTTTATCTTTTTTCATGGACAGTATAATAATCTTCGATTTATGTTACTTAGTTTCCGAAACAAATATATATGATGTAAAAATACATCCATACAAATATATATATATATATATATATATATATATATATATATATATAAATGTGCATATATATGTATGTAAATATGAATATATTAAATTGGAAGTATCATGTGTCTATTGAATTAAAATGAAGTTGGCTTAGCCACTTATAGAGCTAAAAGATCAGATCACTATTTTCCCATTCATTCACTAAAATTGGAGCACCAATGTTATTTATTATTATATTTATTAAAAATTATTGATCCTTATTCCGAGAAAAGTCTCTCAATAAGCGAATTATATTCAATATAAATTATATAGATCTATTTCACTTAAATTATTAATCTTGAAATAAACAATATTTCTCCGTCTTCTTTCATATGACACATAATATGTTGAAACGAGTATAAATTGTTTAAAGTAAATTCTGTACATATATATAAAACACTTTCTACTTCAACACAATTAAAAATAATTTGATCTTCACATGATATCTCTCGATGAAATATATTTCATGTTTTGAATAATCAATACAACTTTCCTATAACATTGCAACAGATTATATCATCATTGAATAGGGAAATTTCAAAATGTTTTGCAACAACACTTCAGCAATAGTAAATATATATATATATATATATATATATATATATATATATATAAATATACCTATTCACCTTGTTTCTGAACTCGTACATTACAGACTATAAATTAAATATGGATGTAAATCTGGATCAATCTCAATTACTAAAATTTAATCGCATTTGAAGATCAAAATAAATTTACTTGTGCCGATAGCATAATTAAATTCTATATTATATAAAATTATCTTGCAACATAATAAATATACCTTTATGTTTTAAAGACGTAATTGAAATGATCTAATACTAGAACACAAAGTACATATTTCGACCTCATATTTTAATAAAATTTTCAACTTTACAACAAATATATTGGCAATGATATGACAAATTAACGAAACGATCATATTATTATGTCTTGTTACTGTCACGTGGCATTCGAATTGCACGATAATACATCAGTCTTATAAAATACGCAACTTGGACAATTAATTGTCTATAGTGCGTGTCGACATTTAAATATTGCCAGTCGCTTTGCAAGTAAAGTTTTTCTTAAATTCTCATACGCTACTTTCTATATATATTTATATTCAAAATCATAAAGATTATTTAAAAAATAATCTAAATGAGCCAACAGAGCTTTAACCGGGAGCGAGATATGTAGGAAACGTTCAAGGCTTCGAGGCAATACTATAATCCAGTATAAACATGAAAATTGACAAAATACTAAATTCTTCTTATTGGTATCAATCGATTTCATAATTGGACAGTAGTTGACATAGATACTTAACATGAAGTGAAAATTATGTGAGATTTCATATATTTGCCCAGTGACGTCCAATAAAATGTAGTGCACCGCTAATCTAGAAATTCTTTTGTAAGACATTTCTATTATTCAGTGACAATTTGTGTTCTTGACCTGTCAATCATGTTTTAGATATTTTATAATTGGTCAGTAGCAAACAATGTGCATACCAATTTCTACGTTTGGTAATGGTAGAAAAATGCCATTTGAAAATTGACTTTATAGAACAATTTCTATGTGGAGAAAAGTAAAGCCAAACTTATATAAAACAAGTAAATATATTTTATTGATATTTGATGATCGCCTTCTTCGTTCCCTATGAGATCTCAATTAAAAAACTATAAAACATATAAGATATTCCATCTGCCACTAATGCAGTGTAGCGGATCTTGATTAAATGAGCTGTTTCGTGTATTCAATAGCGAATACCCCATCTATCCTGTGCTTGGACCGCATTAAGTGTTATTTGCTCCATGGACCACTAAGGCGTATTATCCTCAGGGTGTGTGTGCTGCTGCTGTTGGTGCCTATGCATCAAATTCTGTTGCTGCTCCATCGCAGCTAAATTTTCGGCAAGCTCTGCGTCATGTTCATAATCGGCTTCTGCTTCCGCGGCCGCTTCTCGCATTTCCGCTTCGCGATCTAGGCCTTCTTGTTTGATTTGAAGAGAACCGTTCAGCGGTGACCTGAGGGATGAACGATTGTTATAGCATGTAATTAACTTCCCGTAGGGCGAGTTATAGTAATCGCAAAAAAATCAAAAATGAAAATTTTTATATATCTTTACGTTTCAGTGGTTTCTGAACATTTTGGCATATCTTAGAAAAAATGGATGTATGTGTGTGTGTGTGTGTGTGTGCGTATGTGTATGTATGTATGTACATGTGTGTATGTATGTGCGGATACAAATTTTCGTCGACGATTTCGGGAACACGGATCAACCAATTTGAATAATTCAAAAAACATTCGATTCGTATTGATAAGGAGACGAGCTGATTAGTTTTTGGCAAGGCGGGTTTAGCCGCTCCGAAGATACGGGGCAAAAAGTGCCGAAAACGGTAACTCAGATTTTAAGAGAACGGAGCGTCCGATTTAAATACTTCAAAAAACATTTCACTTGTATTGACAAGATGAAGAATCGATAAAATTTTCATGAAGGTAGGTCTAGCGGTTTCGGAGATATGGAAGAAAAAGTAAAAAAAATGAGCCATTTGGCGGTCAAAAATGATCATTAGACATATGCACATCAAATTATCAGATATTTTATAGAGATTTTAACAATAAGTATACATTTTGTTAACATTCCTATGGGTTCCGTACCAATGCTTATGCGTTAGACAGCGACGCGGCGCTTACGCGCTTTATATTTTGTCCCTAAAGCAGTACGATTGCTTTGAAAAAAAGTTCATATCTTCCACAATATATCAAAATAAAGAAAAAAAAAATTTTTTTCAAAAAAAAAAATTCATTTTTTTTTTTTTTAAGTTTTTTTTTTCAAAAAAAAGTAATTTTTTGTCCAATTTATAGTTTCTCACAAACCTTATTTTTTCAAAGTAATTTTTTTTCAAAAATGTTAATCGTTTTTAAAAAAATAATTTTGGTACGGGAAGTTCCAGCAATTTGCCTTAAGGCACAATGCCTTAATTGCCTTATGACAGAATTCCACTTACAGCTAGTTAATTTGTTAACATAAAATAATATTTTCTTACCTGTGGTCGGACATCGGCGGCGAAGTGGCGGGCGACTCGGAGTGGCCACGCGGTTTGTCCAACCGCGCGCCTAGGTACGGCGCTGTCAGAAATGCCATGTTACTCTCTTCCATCAACGCGGCCTGCGAAAACATGCAGTTTGCAAACTAGAACAACGTTCAACACACATATATATATATATATATATATATATATATATATATATTATAGGGTAGGGTTGCTCAAGTCGTACCACCGTCAAAGTTATACCTCGGCTATATTTTGTCTGATAATTATAAAATACGAAATCTATTATCGTTAAACTTAGATGACTAAGCAAACGATTACAATTGGAAGGCTTTCGAACTTCGTAAAACAGAAATAATTAATTTTGTAAAGTTTCTGCCATTTATTATAATTTTATATAAAAATAATGTTTTTGACGCATTGTCAGCTGTAAGCCTTTTATGAAAATAATATGATATCACTTATTTTAAGTACAGTAGAAACTCGATTAGTCGTATTAATTGTCATTCGGATAATCAAATGTATGAAGAATAATGTTATGGGTTTATTAAAAACAGTAAATACATAGATATGTACGAAAATCAATGGTTATTATGAAATTAATACTTATGTATGTATGCTGTTGGGCGCCGATTAGCTGTTCTCTTCATCAACCAATTTCATTAGATGTTATTGTAATATCATAATGAGTTCAAATTAAACACAATATTCTTCATGTAACATTTATTTTCCCGTTCATTAATACTCTGAGATGCTGTCGTCTATACGAAAATTACATAACTGCCCACATTAAGTTACATTTCGGCATTATATAACCTTTTATTTAGAAGAGGGGCTTTACTCCTTTTAGGATATGATAAATTAATTTCATTTATATGTGTGAGTGCAAATTATGTGATTCCCCGATCAAAATTCATAAGAATTATTGCGTCGTGTGCATTGGGAAAAAGTTCATCGATCCTATTTTTGATTATAATACTTTTGTTACTCGATATGAGGTCATACAATGTAACGACAGTTCTTGGGATAAATACAATGTTGAGAAACTGAGAATCGGATATATGCGTAGCGTATATTATAGTTAGTAATATATTAGTTATAGTAAAACCAATGGGTCGCAACAATGCACATACCATATTTTCCTAGATTACATTATGTACATACATAATTATGAACATTAATCATGAAATAGAATAATTAGGTATTTATATACGAATAATTTGTTTACAATAAGTATTTGATAATTTGCATTTGGTAACTGTCAAATAAGTAAGTAATTAGTTTAATTTAGTTTAAAATATTTGGTAATTATCATTTGACTTAAGAAACTTTTCCACTTCATTGACGAATTGGTCATATAAATTGGTCGCGGTTGGTAGTCCGGATAATCGCAAATCCGTATAACTGAGGGCCGGATACAATTAATTATATTTTGTCATTAATTTCAATTCCAAACCTCTATGTCCATGCAGCTTAAAGCATTTATTGAACATGGAAAATACCAATTAGGTGTAAATAACAGATTTATCTTCATAGGCAGTTTCCATAGAGTATCATCCATAAGGTTTTAAAAACTGTATAGGTATAATCGTTACTTTTTTATTATTATTATAAGTATTATTTTAATAGCTGAAGAAAAATTGACCTCAATCTGAATCCTATATAAGCAATTTTTAGTATTAGGTACAACTCAGAATATAGGTGGAAAAACTAATAAGCGCCTTAATCGTACCGAAAGCCTATTATTGAAAATGATACTGAATAAAACGATTTTTGAAAAACGTAAAAATACGTTTCAAATTAGCAATCGTTAAGCATGAAGCCATATAAAAAGTTATTAATCGCCAATAAATTTATCTTTATTTCATTGCTCTAAATATCATAGCATTATTTCTCCAAGGGGTACGACTTAAGATACCTGACCTTATATATATATATATATATATATATATATATATGTATATGTGTCCATATAAACTATTTATAAAAGTAATATCATAATTGAATAATTCGTGAAATTGAAACAATTGTTACCATAGCTCATAAAATCAAAATAATTCACAATAATTAAAATACTTAAACATAAAATAATACAAGTACTACAAACAGCGCTATCTGACAGGCTTGTCGAATTAAAATTAAAATTAATCAAATTTTTACTACCTTTGTTATATAAAAAATGGTATTAATTTCAGTATTTGTAGTAGAAGTATAAATACACTCAATTTAAAGGGAAGTGGTACAAATGGCTCGACCCTACAAGTATATTTCAAAGGTAAGTAATCTGATGCAATTAAAATTTAAAAATCAAAACTGATACACTTGCTGCAAAAGTAATATAAATTGATGTCTTACAAATAGCCCTCTTGAAATAAAACATCTATATTTTAATATCAATGATATGATCTGACGTGCTTGTTGAATAATCTAAAAACGCACCAACAAGTTTGTACTATTTTTCTCACACGATTGATACATGTAATTACAGAAAATGAGTTTCAATTACAATTTAGATGGCGATCTGATCAAAGTATTAATAATAATAATCTGATTTTCAAAATACCTGAAGATTAGCACTTAGGGTTTCTCCATAAAAAGTAGGACTGTGAATAGTCGTCGGACTTTTAGACTGCACACCCCTGTTTCGTAAATAAAATTAATATTAGTAAAATTCAATTTTTATCCAAAACTAAAACGATTTCGTAAAATCGTTCCTGAAAAGTAATGGGAGTTATTTTAACGATATGAATATTAAAAGTTAAAATATGAATATAAAAAGATTTTAAAAGATTTAAAAAGATTAAACTAGATATATAAAAATACTACAGAAAAATATTAGAATTCATAAAAAAGAGTCTTTACCTCACTGTTGTTACGGTACTTATGATCTAATTGATTAAAATATAATTTAAAAGCTAATAGATTCAAAGATAATTCAAAAACTAGAGTTACACATGCAAAACATTAAAAAGTGAGAATAAAAAAATTATGAGTATGAAGTGTTACGAATAATTTATTTATTAAAAAAAAAACTATTGATAATTTAATAGATAAAAATCTCGCATGCCATGAGTTCATTATTATTTATTATTACATTTATTTAAATTTTTGTTTTAATATTTCATAAAATATATTATAATATATTGTCATTACTCCAATTATATATAAATCAAGTCGCTTTTATACGATATGATAGTTTTAGAGAAGAGTAAAAATATCTAAAAAACATAACTTATAAATGTTTAAAATCAACTTCATTTGTTCTTTCTCTATTATCTTAGTTAAATAAATATAATTTTTTTTATATCAATTCTTAAAATTACACACATTGAATAAAAATTTAAAAACTCTAACATATATTTTCTACATTAAAAATTATTATTTTCAAGTAAAATCGATGAAAAGTTGTCAAATTTCCATCAAAATTTACAATATCAATAAATGAAGTTGATATTATTAACATTCAAGAAACATATTGTTTGAAATATTCGTGACACTTCATGTAATAAAATTGAGTATAATTCAAATAGTCAAAATAATCAAAACATGCTTGAATAATAAATAAAAATAATAATGCATCATGTAAATAAATTAGATTTAAACGTTTTTCTTCAATTTATTTTCTTTAATTTGATGCATGATTATTCTTCTAAAATGTATAAAGTTAAAAATATTAAAAAATGTATAAAAAGTATCAAAAATAGCATGCTCATAAAAAAATATGAATGAAAAAATTATTATTTATTAAAATATTATTATTAAGTTAAAAATATTATTGAATTTAAAAAATCTAACTACGTATAAGAAGAAAATTGAGAATAAAATCGAAGGTGATGAAGAAAATATTTAAAAATTAGTTAGTAAAATGAAAATATTATTGATACCTTAAATACCATTTGTCAAGATTTTGATGTTAGTCTCATCACTGCCGGGTTCCGTATCATTTATACAAACGACATTAGTATACATTCTTTTTTTTTTTTACAAAATCCCAGTACGAAAAAACACTTAGTTGGGAATATATGCAAAATTCTTTGGATATCGAATTTTGCAAAGCCGATAAGAGATAGTCAACATTGAAAACAAAATTAATATATATATATATATATATATATATATATATATATATATATAGTATAATAATTCAGCAACATAGTCAAAAATTTGTTTGCTTATTCGCCCATTCTTTTATTGGTGAAATAATATATTATATAACAAATTGAGAGAAAATTTAGTATATAAAGAAATCAATATAGAAAAATGTAACCCGATATAAATTATCTTAAATATAAGTGAAAATTATAATTTTAAACGATATTTTATTGTACCAATGTAAATAGATATTATAAAATTTGATTTAATTTAATATATTTTATTTGTTTCTCGCCGAGCTATTAGCAACACTCAGAGATTTTTCGTACTGAAATATTTTTTAACTAAACAAGACACCTTTTATAACATAATCCAAGACACACTAAAAAAATGCAAACAGTTTTTAGCAACTCACTTTGATTAACCTAAAAATGTATTAAATATTATTTTTCACCAGCATGTACATTCATATTGCTAAGAATAATATATTTGAAAATATTTTCGAGCATTTGATACGTGTCGCAAGACGGTTTTAATCGGTTCTATCAATTTGTTAGTATAAAATAATCTTCTGAATTGTAATAAAAATAAAAACAGAATTTTTGCATCAATGTTTTACTATATAAACATTCCAAAACCACAATTTATTCCAGTGGGTAAAAAAATTCAACGCACGATAAACGATTATTAAATCTTCAATAGCATTTTACTATTTAAACTGTTTAAAATATTTTTTAATGTCTTTGAACATTTTTAACTAATTTAAATCTATTTTCTAAATTATTGACTATAAAATGCAAATTTCAGAACAAAAATCATTTTTAACATTTTTATTAATTTTGCCATACAATAAGAATCAGAGTGGGTTAATGAAATATAAAGTTTATAAATCAATTTATAGTAGTTGCAACAATTTTACATAGAAACAATAAAAGTTTCCATCGTTGCACAATTACAATTTAAGGGCAGAAAAATCTTTATTGATCTTGAAAATTCATAATTTAGCTATTTTCTTTGCTTCAATTTGTAAAACATTGTGTAAATGTATAAAAAGTTAATTACCATGGATTTACCACTGGATTTTTTAAAATTTTATTCAGAACTACTAAAAAAACAAAAACCGAGTTTTGTGATGTTTATTTTTATACTTTTATTCTTTATTCCACAAAGAAAGAAATTGGTCATAAAGTTTGTCTATCACTCCGTATCATCACAAAACATTACCTCAAATCTTTCTGTGATAAATTAATACAAATAATATAATTTCGATTCAACTATTACAAAGAAGAGTTTTCCAAACCGTTTGCATTCCAAGCAAATTCATGCAAAAGCTCTACAATGCAAAGCGTTTTTACTTGTTAAAGCAAAAGCAAAATTAAATATGAACATCGACGATGTAACTGGGCATGTTTTTATAAAACTTATCAAGTTTGGAACCGATAATAAACTATGGATCCGATTTTAAAGAATTTCATTTTATAAGAATAATATTTAAGAGAATTTTAAATCATTATGCATGTTTTAGACTTCCAGGAGCTTTCTTACGATGCGATTTATTCGTTTGTGCGTTGTGAATTTAATAATTTATTTTTGTTATTATAATTCAATAATTGTATAATATAAATCTTTGTATGTATTTAAAAAAACAGATTTATATATATATATATATATACATTTTTTTTTTTTTTTTTTTCAGGATGTCCAAAAACTTAACGTCAAGCCGAAACGGGTTGATAATATTATAATAATGTTATATAAAATTGTAATAAAGATTATATTAATATTATATAAGATTATATCCTGAAAAACATTAGAAAAAAAATATCTCACGTTGTTTGGAAATTATGAGCTTTTAAGTGCAACCTAGAAGTTTGGTAAAATTATCACCATTTTTCTGTTATTGTTGTGAATTTTTATTAATTTTGTTCATTTAAACTTTGTAACAGTAACATTTGTAGAACCACAGTCAAATATAATAATACAATAGCGTATTTTAAAAAAAAATTAAGACTGTTTGTTAAAATTTGGATTTAATTTTTTTTAAATCAATTAACTTTGAGAGCCTTTTCTTTAAATTTTTTTTCTAAAGTGTGTTGGCAAGTTTCATTAAAAGTTGACGCATTTATTTAATCAGGATGGTAACATGGTAAAATACTTGATAATTTTATTACTGAAAATGTTATAGTTTAACAAAAATTTCCAATTCTTGAAAACTTGGGATGATTATGTTATTATTTTTGACTATGTTCCAAGAAAATTTTGACTGTGGTCCTATTCACGGTTGGTTCCGAAATTTAAATGAACAAAATTAATAAAAATTATGACCGAAAATGGTCATAATTTCTGTACAACGTGAGATAATTTGTTTTCTAATTTTTTTTAGGATAGTTAAGGTCAATATTATCACCCTTTTTCGGCTTGATATCAAGTGCTGAGACACCCTGTATTTTAGGAAACGTATGATATTAAAGGTTGTATCCTGTAGGTCCTAACCTGTAGGTTAGGAAATTATGATATTAAAATATGCGTATGCAATAACATCAGACGAATAGATTAGATTTTTTAGAAATATAGAATTATAATTTCCGGTAAGTTTACAGAGATTACTTTTTTAATATCTGCACCTATTCCATTATCGAACATCAGCAATTTTTTTATAGTACTTAGAAAATGTCTAAATTATTAAATGCCAATCCAGTGATTGGTCGGGTATGAGATATATTACTTAGAGCTAATTATGTATGAAATAATAAAAGTTTATAAAAAATCTTTTTTTTATTTAATGTAATGCCAATGAAGATTTTATATATATGACATGAATGATCACATCGTAAGAGCCTTCGACAATGAAAGAATACCTACTGAATAATATATTAAGATCAATATAAATTCGCGTGAATAAATAAATTTTTCAAAGAAGTTCATAACTTTTTCTTATTGTTAGGTATAAAATTTTTGTCACAAATTGATTTACGAGTTCTTCTTCCAGTTAGATCGACGGCATTTGTAAGATTCCACACAAACCAAATGAAACAAAAAATAAGTCACAGGTTAACATCGGGCACAGAACAAAAGGGCAGCATTGCTTAAACAGATAGAAGTTATGACACTCACACTGAACCGCACATGGCGCGACACGGCGTGTGTTGCCGCGACATGCGCGGTCACGCCCGCATCGTGTACGCACGGAATTTGGTCGCGAGCGGCCGCCGCCAGCACTCGTTTGCGACCTCTGGCCAATTAATAATAATAGATACTTATTAAGTCATTAATTTATTTGCTAATCTTAATTTTTTTTTCGTGCACACGTGGTAGGGTATCATCGAGGTGATCTCTTGGTGAGTAGCTCACTTCAATAATTTCTGTTTTCATACAAAATACTATAATTTTCTCATCGATTCTCGCTAAATTTAAATACGCTGCGGGCGCGAGGCCGCGATCGCTACTTTTGGGCCATTCTACACGTGACAAGGGACATTCGCAAGCAGAATGGAACGACCAATACGGGTGGGAAATTAAGAAAAAATAGGATCAGGAGCGGTAAATTTAAATCATGTTGCTGAAGGTCTGATAGCATCGTATTAGTATGTCAAGTATAAGTGTTGAATAAAAAGTGTAGATCAAATATTAAACTCAAAGTCTAATCATTTAAATTATTATTACGTGATATGTAATCCAAATTTTACGATCAAGCGTTACATCAAAGATTTTTCAATAGTTGTATTCTGTTGAAGCCCATATCATCATATCATATCATTAATCGGCAAAAAATAAGTATCATGCTATAAATAAATATAATTTAATACTTCAATGCTAAGCCCGTTTTCATTTCGTACATTCTATTGCAATTTAAAAATGACAAGTATCCGGAGTTTATTGTTTCGTGTAAAAGCCGGACAGTTCGCTCATTTTAAATTGTATTGATTATCAAGGCCCACAAAAAAGTTGTCTGATTTTTGTGTGCTTTATATGTTTTCTAAAGTAGTTTTTACACAAATCTAAAGTCAAAATAGGGGGTCAAATTACAGGGAATTAAAAAAACATTAAAAAAACAATAAAATCTCCTATTTAGCAATTCTTTTGCATAATAATTAAAATCTTATAATTATCCCTTTTTATTTAAAATGACTATTGCGCACTGACTTGAATGATCTATCAAGTTTTTTTTATAGCACTAATTTGTTAACATATTTTTAGATAATCAATTGCAAGCAAGTTTGCAGGTTACCCAGGAACAATGCAATGGGGAGTAAATATTTTTGCAAGTTACTGCTGAATCTTACAAAAAAACATAAATCATTTAATTGAAACTTATCAGACATTTTAGATAGAAAGGACCAGAAATTATAAGAGTGTAATTATCATGCAGAAGAATTACTAGATCAGAATTTTTGTCGTATTTTTTAATTTTTTTTGCCATTTGACCCGCAATTTTGACTTCAGATTCGTATTTAGCGGTAAAAACTACATTGGAAATTAAATGCTGTACACCCAATACAGACAACTTTTTATTTGTGAATTTGTGTTGCTGAAATTGTCAAAGAACAGCTAAGAAAGCTGATCCGCCTTAAATAATCGGTGTTGATTATATTAACATATATAAAATCTAAAGAAATTGACAGAAAAAAAAAATGTCTGATTTCTATTATTTAAACTAAGTGATGATATTTTGTTGGCTCCAGCCTTGGTGTTTCTTTCGTAACCTTAACATCAAAACTTTTGCAATAAAAAATACAAAGCGATACAAAATTTAAAAAATATTCCATGACTACTAATATGCTCAATTCTCGTTTTGTGTCAAAATCGACCGGGACACTTTTCATAAATGATAAGAATAAATTGATAAAGTAAATAAATTATGTATTCATTAAATCAAACTATCATATTTGACAACCGAAAAACCATTCAATAGGTGTCAGTTGAAACTTTTCGATTTTCCATAAAGTTGGTCTATTCCTCATCAACAATTAGGAATTATATTTTTAAAGCAATTCATGGAACTAAATTAAAAATTAACTAATCATTGCAGTTTAAGTGGGCATTGAATTTCTGCGTATATCGGCCGGCTTTTTTAAATTGGCATCATTTAGCATGAATATAAAATTACTTAAAGTAAATTATTTGTTTAATTTTGTTATATTTTTCCCGCTCACTACACTTTGGATAAAAAAAAATTGATTATGATGTTAAAAAATAATAAAAGTAAAATTGTGCAAAATACATGAAGTATTTTTAAATTAAAATATACAGGAAGGATGTATACAGAGGAAATTGGAATTAGGACGCCAAGAGTCTGTCGGATAAAGCGGCATCTACCGGGTCTATCTTTCTATCACTAGCCACTAGTCACTAGCCGAGTTAGCTTAAAGAATGCCAGCGCACAGGCTAAACAGGCCAGTAATGGCTAATCTACAATCACTGGCCACAAAATAAATAATAAGACTTTGCGCTTGCAGGAAACAAAATATTGCAAGGACCCCTCGTGAGAACCGACTAATAAAATTGTTGTAATTATTTGTTAATTAAATTGTCGTTTCCCCCAGGGGCGGACTATTACAGCCGTGTCCTTTCGTTATCCGTGGGCGCAAAGCCTGGAACACATAGTCAGTGCTTACTGTGCAGAAATGTGGGGTGGAGTGGGTGATGGAGTAGGGTCATATTTCCGTGGTCTTCCACGCGAAAGATGCCTTCGCTTGACAAACTCAGCATCGTCGACCATCCAGAAAGAACCGAAGTCGTCTTCGTATCGCACAAAACACTTGTGCAGAGACAGATTGGTGCGTATGGCATTCTGAACACACCACCCAAGATCACCAAGAAATAAGAAAGACGATAAAAACGATAGCATAAAGACTAAAAGAACAGTCAAAAAAGAGTCAATCTAAAAAAATATAAACAAAGTATGTTGTGGACCAGATGCTCCACGGCCGGCCGCTCGCAACGCCCGCGAGACCTAGGTTGCCCGCACTCAGAGACACAACACTCGCAACATTCGACTTGAGCCTTCTAGGTCCCTTCGACTCGACGTGCACTCGGGAACGCACGGGAAACACACACTTGGCGAATGAACCCACTCATAAACAAACAAACACACACATATATGTATATATGGATATACATAATAATAAAACTAAAAAGAAACGTCACTCATATTTAGGCACGATCAATAAAAAAGTAATAATCGCTACAAACACTGAGTTATTTAGTAATTAATATCTGACAATGAGCATCTTACAATTTTTGAAATTTCCTTTATTTCGTGTCGATGTTATTATTAATTTATAATTAGTACCAAAGTATTACAATAAATAATCGATGAGAGTTGAAGATACGTTCGAAGAGATAGTAAAAAGTGCTATATATGTAATTTTAATGTAATATCTTGACAACAAGATATATACAATTTCATAAAGGTTGTTTTAAATTATAAAATTCATGTTTTTGTTACAAAATTTCTAAGCTTTCGTTATGTGATGTATTTAGATCACTTTTGTATTTTAGATATATGATAATTTAAAAACAAACTACTATTTTGCTTGTTCGTATAATTATATAAATATATATACTTTAATATAAACCTCTATTAAAAGTTTAAATAAAACAATTTAATACTTATTACAGGTTACCTATGCAAAATGCTGTATTTAGTTTAAACATTTTAATTCCAATTAAAATAATAATATATTTAAATATTATGATTTATAACTGCAAATAACGTAAGACCGACAAATGTCTGTAGTTATTGATATTTTTTAATGAATTTTATTTAAAAATGAGTGTCGCAAATTTCTAATATTATTAATTGGTATGTGTTTCAATCACAACCTATATATATATATATATATATATATATATATATATATATATATATCGAGACAGTCAATCGCAATGAATGAATGTATATGTATACATGTTTCGCTATGAATAATATACTCGACACTAAATAGATAATAGAAAATATAGAATAGTAATAAATAGATAGAGAGACAGAGAATACGTAATAAAAAAATGAAAATAGTTGAAAAAATTCAAAATATTTTTTTTCGTGTAGCCCAAGGTCCTGACGTACCCTGACCCGACCCCCGCCGAAGTGATCATCCCGCCGGCGGCCGAGTTCGAAGCGCCAGCGCCCGCTGAACAGCGCTGCGGTCGCCGCTTATAGAATTCAACCTCGTCCACGGTCCAGACCGCACCCTTAACGTTCTCCACACGCATGAAACATTTGTGAAGCGACAGGTTGTGTCGCACTGCGTTCTATTGGATAAAAATCATATAATACACAACAAGTAAGCGAAACAACCGACCGAACGAATCGAAAATATTACTGAAATATATATCCATCGAAACAACATTAATTCATACCAATCTCCTGAAAATATTAATACACACTAATCATGATTGAACCATAGACCCATATTACCTCGATTGCACTTTTTATACACAAACTTCAAAAGTGTTTAATGCGAATAGTAAGAAATATTTACAACCAACCACTAAATATTCCCCAAATAGTGCAATGTTTGTATGCCAAAACATAAATTAACTGATTCCACAGTCTTGACGAGTGTACGTCAACAACATTTTCAGTTTTTAGCAAAATATAGAGTCGTCAAAAAAAGATGAGTAGATGAGAATTTGTGAATCACATTTAATTATTCTCAAATTGAAATTTGATTATAAAGAGTGGTGTATGAGTTTACTCTAAACCAATAATTCCAGTAATATAAGTCTATGGGTTGAACCACATTGTACGGTACCTTCCAAGTCGCTGCGTTACGCCTAAAGTAGCAAAATGTATTCTGGAACCAGTTGTAAATCTCGTTGAGGGTTAACTGCTTATCTGGAGATTCGATTATTGACTGAAAATAAAAATGGTAACATTTGGCAACCTGATTGATTTTTAATAGAAAGTATCCTCAATAGCTACACATTTGGGTTTAGATTTTTAGGAATAAAGTTATTAAATAATTAAACAATTACCTGTCGAATTAGAGAAGCATATGTAAACGGCGGTCTTACATCAGCGTTCTTGTAAAATTCTCGATTCCGTTGAATTTCTATAACACAAAACACACAACAAAAATGATTAAAACAAACGATATGACAAAAATAGATTAGAAAAAACTCGGGGAAATTTTACCTTGCTGCACATCCAACCCTGCCCTTTCCAACATATAGGGCAATCCTGGAGAAAATGCAGCGTTAAAATAAAGAAATCGCGTTGATTATATTTTAGTCAGAGTATACATGCTTTGGATAATACTTTTGTATCCGAACTTATGATACGACTATCGGTTAGCATCGATTTTGTATTAAAAATGCATATTTTCACTCACTATACATATATTTTTACTCAACTTCAATTCACTGCAATATTTAACTTACCGTAGGGCAAGTTATAGTAATCGCAAAAAAATCGAAAATGAGAATTTTTGCATTTCTCGACGTTTCAAAGGTTTCTGAATATTTTGGCATACCTTAGAAAAAATGGATGTATGTGTGTGTGTGTGTGTATGTGCGTGTGTGTATGTATGTGCGGATACAAATTTTCGTCGACGATTTCGGGAACACCGATCAACCGATTTGAATAATTCAAAAAAAACATTCGATTCGTATTGATAAGGAGACGTGCTGATTAGTTTTTGGCGAAGTCAGGACTAGCCGTTCCGAAGATACAGGGCAAAAAGTGCCGAAAACGATAACTCAGTTTTTAGGAGAACGGAGCGTCCGATTTTAATAATTCAAATAACATTTTACTTGTATTGACAAGGTGAAGAACCGATCAAATTTTCATAAAGGCAGGTCTAGCGGTTTCGGAGATCTAATAAAAAAAGTAAAAAAAAATGCCATTTGGCGGTCAAAAATGATCATTGGACATATGCACATCAAATTATCAGATATTTTATAGAGATTTTAATAATAAGTATAATTTTGGTTTACGCGTTAGACGTCGACGCGGCGCTTACGCGGTTTGATATTTCGTCTTTATGGAGTTAAAGCAGTACGATTGCTTTGAAAAAAAGTTTAGATCTTTCAAAATATGTCAAAATAAAGAAAACATTTTTTTTTTCAAAAAAAAAAATTAAAAAAAAATTTTTTTCCAAAAAAAAGTAATTTTTTGTCTAATTGTTTGTCAAAAATCTTATTTATTCGAAGTAAATTTTTTTCAAAAATGTTAATCGTTTTTACAAAAATAATATTTTTTGGTTCGGGAAGTTCCAGCAATTTGCCTTAAGGCACGATGCCTTAATTGCCTTAAGACAGAATTCCACTTACAGCTAGTTTTTTTTGTGAATGAATTATTTTCTGTGTTTAGTGAATGAGTTATTTTTCTTGTTAAAATGTTTTAAAACTCACCTCCTGCCAACGATAAAGCTGATTTATCACTAATACGTCTTCGTATAGGTCCAGACATATTCGGCGACGCGGGCAACGCCGGCGATCGTCCCGTCGAGACCATTCCCGGCATCGATGGAGGAGCTCCGCCGGCCCCCGGACTCGTGAGAAATGAGGAACCTTGTCCCAGCATCGCAGGCATCCGTCCATCGGACTTAACTTCCAGAGCTGATAATTGTTTCGCGATGTGCAGATGGTGCATCATCGCTTGGAGACGATCCCTCTCTTTTTGAAGTTGCAATTCGAGTTGCGACACCACTTGCATTTGGACGCGGGCTTGGGCCGTGGACCTGTCGTCTAGGTTGTGTTCAGTATTCAAATGCCTAAAATTAGAAAGTATTATTTTTATTGATAAAACACAAGTAAAATCAATTAATTCTCATCAATTAATTCTAGAATTTCAGACAATTCGATGCTGGACGCATTTAAAAAATAACTGATGTTGCACATTATTTTATACATAGTAAGTTTATATTGGTCCACATCGATTGGAAAAATCAAATAAAAAATTATTGAATAAAAAATGATCAAATAAATAAGTTAATGAATAGAAAAACTAACTGAGAATTTATTTATTTCATTTAATTTCACTATCGATTTCAATTCCTTCAAATGACAATTTGTATTTGCAAAATAAAACAATACCTTTAGAAATATATTAAAAAAATAAAGAGATAAATTATTAATTAAACGATCAGATGCATAAAATACTGTATAATTAAACAAATAAATTAAAAATATGTCAGAAAATCGATAAGTCGCACAATTCTGCCTCGACCGACCGCTTCCCATCACCTAAAATAATACGATTTACAAAAAGTTTGTACTCCACCTAATAATTACGACCCGGTATAATTAATATTCAAAAACCGTCGATCACTTTGTCGTCAGCTCTTAGCGGTAATCCTACAAAGCCGGAAGAATTATTTCTTTTCTTTCTGAAACTTTCTCAAACTTCCTCTCACTCTCTCATCCTCCTCGTGGGATATTTATATTTGTCGTCAATTCCTCAATTGTATTATGAAATAGGATTAAAGTTAAAGTTCAATAAATAAATCTTACTTAATGAAAGCTTGGGGGTCATCGCATATCACTTCACAACCGGGCCATTTGCACACACCATGCCCAAATAGGGGATGCATTTTGTCAGAGCAGGAATCGGAACGGTCTTCCAGGCCACCGAACGCTATAGAATTCAGCAAGCCTAAACAAATATGAACATATGAACTTTAACAAAGTCTTCAGGCAATAACCTATCAACAAAATCACGAATAAAAAAGTATCTAAAAAATATCTACTAAAAAAACACCGAGTTTGTTGGTTGTAAAAACGATATCAACAAATAGAAAAACAGTAAAAATTAAACAAATGAAAAAAATGGTTGTCAAAATTACATCAGCAATAAAAAAAATGCAATATTAGCATAAACCATATAATACATATGTATCATAAGGTCGCTAGATAATATTAGAATATAAATACAAAAGGTATATAAATTAGAATATGGCATATTTATAAAGCCTATAAATGTTAGTCATGCATGTTTACGTGACATTTATGCAAAAAAAATTTGTTCGTAAAAGCACAAAATAACTTTGAAAAATGAATATTTTTTATTCTCATTAGAAGTAAACTTAATATATATTAAAAGCGCCAAAATCTGAATACTGATTTAAATGAATAAGAACTTATGACCGTTTGATCACTTGCAATAGGTTTACCATTGATGTCTGCTGAGCCATGCATGAGAGGGGCAGGTATATTTTCCGCCGATCCACCGTCCTTCCATGGGCTAATAACATCAAATGATGATATACCTGAAATATTCAACGTACAATTTAGTATACTTTATTTTAATAAACAACAGTATATACTGCTGGCCAAAAAATTGATATTAATAAATTGAGAAAATAGTTAAAATAAAAATGATATTTTAAAATTTTGTAAATTTTTGAAAATTCTGTGTATTCAATAAATTTCAGTTAAGTTGTATCCTAGCGCAGCACGGCGGCGACTTCGCGCCTTGAGGAGCAGCGCGCAATCGCGGTTTCACGTGGGCAAAGAAGAAATTCCGGATAAGCACGGAGAACAGAGGCAAATCGATGAGGTTTTGTCTAAGATCGGGGAGAGCAAGGTGGAGTTAGGCTGAGAACCATAGATGTAATTTTTGATCAAGAGGACAAGGAGACAGCTTAACTATAAATAAGAGGAGCAAGGTATAGCCTGGAAGGACATATGTGTAGTGTTCAAAGGAACGGGCAATCTCACGTGAAACCTATCAAAAGCGTCGTCATCCTCAAAGAACGCGAGTCGTGCCTTTGCGACATGCTCCTGATAAATAAATACCTATGTAAAAATTAAAGAGATAATTGCCCGCTCATAGAGGCCAAAGGTGTTGGAAGGAGTTTTGGAAAAAAACGGGAAACCTACCTTGCCCCATTGTTTGAAGTTGGTGTGCTTCTCAGAAAATTCTTCTTTGTTCAAAAAACCCGATATAAAAAACGATATAATAGAAAACACGCGTAAAATTTATAGTTTGAACAATGCATAATTTTTTGCTTTTATTTTTATTTAATACGCTCGCCGTGCTAAAAAGTTGCATGTTGTGAGTTGATTGCAGACCGCGATCAGGAGACACATTGCTTCAGCCGTACCTGTTCCTTGTGCTTGCGCTTGGGCTTGAACCTGCGCCAACATCATAGGCGGAAGACCAATTCCCTGGTGCATAAGGTACTGTCGTTGCACAATTTGAAACTGCTGGATGAGATGCTGTTGTTGCACTGCCAACTGCTGGAGAGGCGCAGAATTCTTCTTTTTATCACCGCCCGATTGTAAGATGTGTGTCTGCTGCATTACGTTGAGCTGTAACTGCTCCTGGATTTGCTGCATAACTTGTTCCAGCTTCTTGCGACTTAATTCCGCAAATTGCTGCTGGTGTTGTTGCTGCAATGGTAACTTTATATAAAAAGAAATTAATGTTATTGTTTGAAAAAAAATATAAACTAGTACTAAATACCATTTTACCCACTGGCAAGTTCCAAACTTACGTAAAAAATGTGATTAATTTTACTAGTTTAATCTTCAAAAAAATTGATTGATAAATATTGATCTTTTCATTTTTCCCGATTCCTTACCTGGTGCTGCTGATGCAAAAACATGGAGTGTTGCTTCATCAGCGATTGCAGTTGCGCAGGTCCCAGAACGTGCTGCAGCATGTGCTGCTGCTTCGCGCCCGATGTCTGCTGCGACTGTTGTGCATGCTGCTGTTGCTGCGCGCACGGCGACATCCGAGGGCGGGTAGTCGGAGAGCACTGAGAAGGAGCCGGGGTCCCGTTCGAACTGTGAACGGAATTCGGGACTGCTTCCACGGGAGGTGGGTTGTCGGCAACAGAGGAAGGTTGCTGGGGTCCTTGTCCCTGCTGTTGCTGAGATTGTTGCTGCTGGGGTTGTTGGGACTGTAAGTGTACTTGTTGAGGTTGCTGCTGGGTTTGAGAGACAGGATTCTCTTGCTCCACTGAGGTGTCACCGCAATCCCAAGCGGAACGGTTCAAGTCTGATTGTTGCTGTTCCTTTAAAGCTCTTTCCAATGAAGAGGACTGGAAAGAAAATAAAATATAGTATATAGAATCATATAAATTCAGTATTTTATTGAGTAATATATATATATATATATATATATATATATATTTATATAAATAAGAACACAACCATGTATGTTTTATAACGATTATGTGTTAGTCATAGACTGTAAGAATTACGATTCCTACCTATCGAGCCGCATACAATTACTCTCGTACCTACGGCTTGTTCAGGAAATGAAATAAATAAAAAATAAGATTTTCCTTCAAGAAAAAGCCAAGAAAACAAAACGCTTACTGTTCACGAGAAATTCTGATAGATTTGCATAATGGACAGATTCGCGTCGGCCGCGGGCCCGCTCGGTATAGATAATTCATTCGCCACTAATTGACTTTAAATCATTAATGAATGCGATACAGTTGCAAGGAAACGCAAGCAAATCAGGAATATTATGTTTACACAAGAACAACAAAATACAGACTCGGAAATTTCTTGTATAACGCGTTTGAATTCGGTTATAACGCGGGTTGAACCCGTCGTGGTCCCGAGTCTTTAAAACAAACAATAAAGCTGAGGGTATAAATTTATCAATTATTCACTTTGAACTTGGATAAATACATACAAACAAACACAAATACACGTATATATATATATATATATATATATATATATATATATAATTGATGCTGTTCAGGAAGACAGCTACATGATGTGAAAGCACTTTTGTTTATAGTTCAATTTTTACTTCTAATACTTCTGCTTCTATGCTTCCGTGTCCTGTGCCTCATCTTTCAAATTGTGCATTTATGCTTTCTATGCGAGCTTTTTCCGATACACTTTTTTCGCAATCGTGTTAAGTATAATTTTTTCTCTCCGAATGTTATCAGTTTTTCTTCATTTGTCAACTTGTATGCTCTTTATATTTTCTCTGTGCTTCAACAGCACCGCAAAACACTCGAGAATGTTTTTTGAACTTGCTTAAAGTTCATATTTTTAAAAAACAAAACTTAACAAAATTAGACATTACAATAATGTTGATTTTATAAAAGTAACTTGAAAATGAAAGTTATAAATTAAATAAAAGGATTTTATAATTTGTCTTATGATTATTTATAACGTTTTTTAAATGGAAGTAAGTTCCAATCGAGGTAATACAACAACTCTGATATAAACATATATTTTACTTACGACCAAATATTCTTGCAAAAGTTTGTTAATGTATATGTTGTGTAATATTTAAACATAAAAATAGTTTCATATATCCTTCCCGCCGCTTCTAATTTTACATCAAGAACATCCCTTCTACGCTTAGTGTTTGAATCTCGTACCACCTTGTCCGAAACCTTTAATGAAATTTAAAAATGCAAATTCTATATTCCACCGAAAACGTAGCTGCAAGATAATCAAAGAAGGATATATAAATTATGAAAATGAGTAATGCTCACAACAAATATTATTTTACCGGGGTTTATCACCAGAGAAAAAATAACTTTTACAAAGCAGACTATTAACTATTAACTAGTTTCATATCCGGTGGGTTTATAAAATGTAGGTTCATAGTCCTGAATTTAAAGTATAGATTTCTCCTCAAAACGAGTCCGAAATCGTGTTTTGTTTGTCCCCGCGTTTCGCAATGAATGATAAGTTGTTAAAAGGCATTACCATGATGTCAGGAGATATAAAAGCCATACATAGATGCGCATTATGTGAAAAATATGGAAATATGGAAAGGAGCCCGGTAAGCGAAACAGCTCTCTGCATATGAAATATGCGACAAAGAGATTTTTCCTTGCGAGAGTATGAAACATCGTGACTTACTCATATTTCAGCCAGGGGAGGATGATTTTCACTAGGATAGGGGTGCGTGCTTTCGGAAAAATGTCGACACAAAAATAAAGAATAAATTATATTCCCAACACTCTTCTCATAATTAAGAGTACAAACCAATAACATATTAAAGAAATAATGAATAAACATATAAGCACACTACTGGTGCATGGCATCGTGCCTTAAGGCAAATTGCTGGAGAACTTCTCGTACTATTTTTTTTTCAAAACAATCATGCTGCGTGGCTGTTTGAAATAGAAATATCGAAGCGCGTAAGCGCCGCGTCGCAGTCTTATTTAAACATTGGCACTAAATCCATAGAAATGTGTACAAAATTTATACTTATTAATAAAATATCTATAAAATATTTGATAATTTGATGTGCATATGTATAATGATCATCTAAACCGCTTGACCTGCCTTCACAAAAATTTAATATTGCATTTAATATTAATCGAATGTTTTTTTTGAATCATTCAAATCGATTGATCCATATTCTCTAAATCGTCGACACAAATTTGTGTTCGTACACACACACAAGGAATGTGCCCTTTTTTCTAAGATATGCAAAACTTTAAGAAACCTTTGAAAGGTAAAAATTTTCATTTTCGATTTTTTTGCGATTACTATGACGTACCCCACGGGAAGTTAATGAACAAATAAATAAATTAATCGACAAATAAAAAAAGTATAATCAGTTAACAAAATAAACAATGATTCATCTGAAGAATGCGAATGCATTATCTACATATATATAAAAATAAGTCGGGTTTTCCTTCCTGACGATATAACTCCAGAACGCACGAACCGATTTCGACAATTTTGCATTCGTTAGACAGGTCTCGGACTCCGCAAGGTTTATAGCTAAGATTAGTGGTGCATGGCATCGTGCCTTAATGCAAAATTGCTGGCGATTTGGTGACATACCAATGATTCTGACTCGTCTTCCCTTTGACTTCAAACGATTGCAATTTCCAGTTCGCCTTGCGTTCGCAATGACAATTAACAAGTCGCAAGGAAAATCGCTTAGTGTTTGCGGGATAAATTTCAAATAGATTATTTTGAAAATCATTGTTTTTCACATTGGCAGTTATACGTTTCCTGTTGGGAAGTTCACGAGTTGGGAAACCATCCGCTTTGTTTGTGTTAACGTCAGACCAAAAAACAAAAAATGTGGTTTACCAAAGAGCACTACAATAAAACGGATAATTTGCGGTTTCACTTTCATTTACTTAGAGAAGTTCAACTAACAAAACACTTCAATTTTGTAATCGAAATAAATTCATTACTGTTGTGTAATAAAATCAATTTTTTCCTTTTCAAATATAAAACAAACAAAAAATTTCTTCATCTTTCTCACGAAACCATTTGATGGCGAAACGGAGTTTGTCGGGTTTGCTAGTATTTTAATAAAATACAATTTCATTTTTAACTATTATAACCAGTATGTTAACTCATATGTATTGTATTTTACATTTAATTTAATAATTTAAAGTTCGATATTCATTTACACATCGAATCTATCAATCATGTTAGAGTTAACTGTATATAAATCGTGTTCACAAAAACAAATTATCTATGTAGTTTTTCCATGTTCGAATCCTTTTAACTCGTAGGGGAATCGTTAAAACAGACTTCACGACTTGTAATTCCCCTTATATATTGTCCAGATCTCTTAAAAATTAATGATACGACCTCGTATCGATACGTAGTTCGCTATTCGTCTTTCGATTCTCGATTTCGTCGGCCCCAGCTGAAGAGAACGCAACCGATGATGAGTCCATCTAAGTGCGCGGACACGAAGCGGGCATGCATAAGCCGCGCGGGATCGTACATCACCGGCGACGGCCTCTTGCCCGCTCACGGCCGCTCCCGGCGGGTTAGGTTAACCACCGCACAGCGGCACCCCCGGATGGGCGTATCGATATGGGGTATTTAAATTTTAATTACGGATTATGCGAATTAAAAATCGTGAAACTCTTCACTTGACCAGTGCAAGAATTATATATAATCACTAATACTAATTACGGTGCTATTTATTATAATTTATTTATGCATTTGGTAATATCATTTTGCATTTTGCATATTAATATGCATTTGGTAATAATAATAGTATCTATAATTATTAGCTATAGTAATTAGTATCTATAATTATTAGCTATAAATACATAATTAAGGTCATCATCAGTGAATATTTATATAAGAGTTTCATAAAAACAATAATAAACTAGTGGGGTGTACGGCATCGTGCCTTAAGGCAAATTGCTGTATCTTCCCGTACCGTAACGAAATGTTCGAGGAATGTTTTCAAATAGACTATTAAAAATAAATACTGTAACATTGTCTAATATTTATAAGAATTATATAAACTGAATTGCAAAGTTGAAATTATTTGTTAAAAGTCAGAATTAAAATTAAAATCTGAATTATTTTCGATATACAAAAACAAATTTTTTTTGAAACAAAAAAATTTTGAAACAAATTTTTTTTTCCAAAATCATTTATTTTGTTAAAACAAGCAGAAAGTTCCTTGAATCATTTAAATCGGAAGCTTAGTTTTCTCAAAAACTGTCATTTTTTGCACATTTAGCTCTGTATCTTCGAAATGACTGTGCCTGCCTTTGCTAAAAACTAATCATCTGTTCTCCCAATCATTACAAAACTCGATTTCTATTATCTGCACTCTTTGCTCTTTATCTCCGTTACTACTGGACCTGCCTTTGTCAAAAACTAATCAGCACATCTCCCTATCAATAGGAATCAAATGTTTTTTGAACCATTCAAATCGGTTGATCCGTGCGCCCGAAAACGTGACTGGAAAATTGTATTCATACATACATACATACACACACACATCCATTTTGTTCTGAGGTATGCCAAAATGTTCCGAAACCTTCAATACGTCGAGAAACGCAAAAATTTTCAATTTAGATTTTCGGACGATTACAATAACTTACCCTACGGGAAGTTAAATATAAACACCGAAGATGAACTATATAAATACTGTAATTTGTAGTATATAATTCATAATAAAAAATCAAATAGAGTAGGGCAAAGCACAAATGTCCAATTTGAGCAATTATATTGTGAAAACCAAACAAATTATATCACAACAAATAACACATATCAAACAGACTATATGGCTATGTTCATTAATACACCCAGCTACTTCATCATTGTAGAAATATGT